TGGTGGCGGCGCCTGTAGTCCCAGCTACTCGGGAGGCTGAGGCAGGAGAATGGCGTGAACCCGGGAGGCGGAGCTTGCAGTGAGCTGAGATCGCCACACTGGACTCCAGCCTGGGCGAAAGAGCGAGACTCCGTCTCAAAAAAACAAAACAACAACAACAAAAAAAAAAAAAACAAAAAGGAAATCGACAAAAACCCAAGATTTCTGTAACTACTATGTGATGATTCGGAGAGAGGAATCTGAGCCACTGTATTGTCAATTACCCAGAAGGCATTCCTCAGTGCACAATGAGGGGGATACCAGGGGACTGGAGGATCCTTCCTCTCTGGCCCCATGCTCCCTTTTTATTTTATTTTTATTTTATTTATTTTTATTGAGATGGAATCTCACTCTGTTGCCCAGGCTGGAGTGCAGTGGCGTGATCTCGGCTTACTGCAACCTCCACCACCTAGGTTCAAGCGATTTTCCTGTCTCAGCCTCCGAGTAGCTGAGATTACAGGCATGTGCCACCAAGCCTGGCTAATTTTTTGGTATTTTTAGTAGAGACGGAATTTCACCATGTTGGCCAGGCTGGTCTCGAACTCCTGACCTCAGTTGATCTGCCCACCTCGTCCTCCCAAAGTGCTGGAATTACAGGCGTGAGCCACCGTGCCCAGCCCCATGCTCCCTTTTGAGATCGTGAGTTTAGTCTATGTGCAGTCACCTTCATTATGCTTCAGGGACATGTAAATACAGCACCACGAGATGCTCTCAGAACTGCAGAATCGGCCCTGCAAGAGGTCTATGACAACATGCATTTAATTGCAAGGAAGTAGATAACCAAGATGGAAAAGAGAAAAGCAACAACTGTTGAATGAAGAGGATACTTCTTATCTTTTCACGGCCTAAAGCTGACCTTGACCACAAAGGGGGCGCTCACCTGGGATGAGAATGGTGACCGCGGCCTGCACCGCTCGGCGGATGATGTTGTCCATCGCGAACATCCAGTGGGGCCTAATTAAGTGGTTCCTCAAAATTTTATTTACCTAAAAAAACAAAGAAAAATCACAAAAATCCAGATTTCTAGTGCATTGCACGGAGAATCATGACAATCTATACTCATCCTCTTGGGGACCGCATGCAATTGGCCAGTTCACCCAGATGCCACTTCCTGGACTTCACTGTTTAGGAGGAGCTGCTGAAGCTCAGAGTTCGGGTGCACACAGTTAAGAAGAGATGGGGGCTATGGAGTAAATGGTCACTGAATTCCACGATCTGGTGTGTTCCCTAGGGCCAGATGGAGCACTTACGGCATCCTGAAATCCGAACAGCACCAGGTGAATCTGACTGATGGACGAGCTGTCAAAGTCCAGGTCCACCTTGAGCTTTGAGATTGTGGTCGCCATCACCCGGTGCTCCGGGGAGCGGATGAAGTCCCTCAGGATCCCAATGATTTGCTTGATGTGGCCAACTGAGAGATGCAACTCTTCGGAACTCTGACAACACACACAAATCATTTTCACCGAGTGAGTCGGATTGAGAAAGCGAGAATTCAGAACATACTGGCGGAAGCAAGATGGTCCATTCGCTAAGAAACTTGTGGAACTCCCAGGTGAGAAGGGGTCTCTGTTGGTTCCTGGAATTCCCTCCAGAACCTTCCTGTCAGGGTTCTGGCCTCTTCTCCCTGGTGGGTGCACGGCTAAGCCCCTCTGTGAATGGCCTCCTGTTTAACCCCTTGTAAGAGCCCCCATCAAGGCCATAGACATAGTTCAGAGCGGAGCAGCAGCCTTTTCCTAAAAGGCCCTTTTCCATCCAAAATAAGGGAGGGGGGGCCGGGCGTGGTAGCTCACACCTGTAATCCCAGCACTTTGGGAAGTCTAGGCAGGCGGATCTCCTGAGGTCAGGAGTTCGAGACCAGCCTGGCCAATAAGGCGAAACCCCATCTCTACTAAAAATACAGAAATTAGCTGGGTGTGGTGGCAGGCACCGTGTAATCCCAGCTACTCGGAAGGCTGAGGCGGGAGATTCACTTGAACCTAGGAGGTGGAGCTTGCAGTGAGCCAAGACCACACCGCTGCACTCCAGCCTGGGCGACAGTGAGACTGTCTAAAAAAAAATAATAAAGATTAAAAAACAATAATAATAAACTGAAATAAGGGAGGGGGATCGGTTTACCAGTCCTGCGCCCTAGTTCAAAGTCAGATATTTTCACCCATAACCACCTTCCCCAAGGTGGCTGTTCTCCCAGCTTCTGAGGGCAGCTCTAGCATGTCCTACAGTTGGGGATTCACTCCAGGACTCAAAACCGGATCATGACAGAGGCCAGAGAAAGTGCTTCGGGCTTTCTGCTACAATCTGGCTGGTTTTCACCAGGTGGCAGCACCGCCCCACCAATGCCTAGAATCACTGCGGTATCTGCAAATCCATGTTTCGGCAGAGCTTTTTTCTTTGTATTTTCTATTGCTTTGTTGGGGAAGGGAAGGACATTAGGGAAACATTTACAGTGATCACTGTAACTATGCAGATGTTCCAGGGCGGCAGGAACCGAGGTCCCTGACGGGACCTGTCTGGGGACTGGGACTTGGGCAGAGGGAGCGGGAAGAGTCGGTGCCCTCCCTCGGGCAAGCACCTGGGCCACGCACTCCTGCAGGTTGGAAACCACCTGGTTCTGCTCCTCCCAGAGGATTTTGTACAGGATGGCGCGGCGCTCACTGTCCTTGCGCAGCAGGAAGAGGCCTGGGTCCCTGTCCTCCGGGGATGAGGCCAAGCCGCGGTCTTCCAAGGCTGAGCTTTCGTCTGGAACACTGTGGACAAACACGTGTGACAATCTCTGTGCGTGCCGGGGCACTGTCCCCGGGAGTGTGTCACATTAGGACGCCCTGGAGGAGGGCTGAGAGGTAACTGCGACGCAGTCCCTGTGCTCAAGAAGATGAAATTGTCAGAGGAAGGACAGACATGCAGTGTTCTGTCAACCCCCACAGCAGCGGGGAGAGCAGAAGGAGGGGGAGGCGGGATAAAGGAGCCTCCCAGGAGAGGGGGAGGAGGGAGGGAGGGAAGGGGGCAAGCGCAGAAGGAGAGGTGAGGGAGGAAAGGTGAGGGGGACAGGGGGAGGAGGAAGACAGAGGAAGGAAAAGAAGGATGGGAGGAGGAGGGGCACAGGAGGAGGAAGGAGCCAGAAGATGAAGGGACAGAGGGGGCGAGGGGAGGTGATGGGGAGAGAGAAGAGGAAGAGGAAAAAGGGGAAGTATCGAAGGAGAGGGGAGAAAGAAGGGAAGAGGAGAGATGGGTGAGGGCACATGTGGGGAATGAAAGGACAGGGAGGGAAGGGCAGGGACAGCGAGTGAATGAAGCGCCCTCCTTGCCAGGATGGGACCGCCCAGCCGCCGTACTGCCCTGCAGAAGGGAAGCAAAACCCCTCAGCGGCCATCTGCTTGGGCCCAGGGAGGTGCCTTGTGGCAGAGGACTGCCAGCACCCTTTCAGGCCCGCAGCAGAGGGACAGGATGCGGGTGTACCTGAGAAGGTGGCCAAGGTGATGCCTGGGCGCCCGGGTCCTCTCAAAGAGTGCGTCAGGCTGGGCGTCGGAGTCCGGGGAGACGGAGCTGTGCTCACTGCTGCTGGTGGCCATGGGCTCCCCCTGTGTGGGCAGGGCCAGGACGACACCCCGGGGACCTTCTGTAGGGGGACAGCCAGACACCGAATGGGGAGCCTCAGAGAGGGACGAGGTAGGGCTGAGTCCCTGGCAGCCCCTCAGGCCCAGGTGAATTGCCCAGGCACCCAGGATCCTGGAGAAATGTGGGTCGGGCGGGGTATGGGCCCCAGGTGCTGTATTTCTACTCCGATGCATGCAGTCGGGGGTCCCTCATGCAGCAAGTTGCTGAGTCACTCTGTGGTGGCTTCTGACCCTGATCGGTACCAGGGAAAAGAGGATAAACTGCTTCCTTTTCAGGGGCCACTCTTACATCATTGCCAGTTAGGACTTACTGCCCCAGAAGGTGTCACTGGACTTCGGTGGCCTGCAGGACAGCCACCTCAGGCAAACCTCCCTGACACATCCTTTCATCAAGGTCAGGGTTGGCACATGATGACAAGCCAGGCTCCAAAACTGAAGCCCCAGGCTCTGCACGTGGGGAAGACAAAGAACCCCAGCTGGGGTACCTCTAGCCCCCCCCACTCTCTTCCCAATCCTGAAGGAACAACTTCCAGCAGAGGGCAGTCCAGCCACCCAGAGACGCCCCGGGCCTCCGTCAGAAGATCCAGGTGCATTTATTAGTTAAATTTTGACAACCTCCAAACCTACTGCATAGGTCCCGTCACTCTTTACAAAAATGGGCATGACGTGAGCAGCCCAGTACTCTGGACAGCCAGAACTCGCCCTCCTGAGCAGCAGAGAAGCCCAGGGGCCCAGCATTCATGTGGCCAGGGTGCTGCCCCAGCTGGCCAGGGAGGCCTCACCTGAGGGCTTGAAGGCAATTCGGTTCTTCTTGCCCTTGTTCACCTGCCTTAAGAAACCCTCTCTCAGTAGCTCAGCGGTGGTGGCACGTTTGTGGGGGTCAGGCTCGAAACAGGATAAAATGAAGGCTCGGGCTTCAGCTGAAAGAGCTTCTGGAATCTCAGGGTGGATCTTAAACATGCCCACCTGTGTTTAAGGGAGAGACAACCGATGTGTCAGTGAGGCCTTGGGTGAATTCGGGTATCCACGTCTCAGTCCAAAGCTCCTGTACACCTGGCACAGGGCGGGCATAACCCATGCCTCCACCCCGAGGTGGAGTCCATTACCCGCCCTGCCCCCGGCATCTTGTGACTTGACTTTGACCAACAGATGGTGACAGAAGTGACATGGTGAGAGTTTCGGGGCCTGGGCCTTAAGAGGTCTTGTGGCTCCGCTAGTCCCCCTTAAAGCCCCGAGAATACCATGCAGAGAGGAAGCCCAGGAGGCACAACCCGGTGGAGAGGACGCCCCAGCCATCCCAGCTGGAACTGCCCCGAGGGAGGGGCCTCTCAGGCCACTCTGCTCCAGCCAAACCACCTTAGCTGCAACCACGTGAGTGAGCCCAGGCGAGACCCACAGAAGAGCCAACAGCTCACGGAGGCATGAGAAAAAGCCATCGCTTTAAGCTTCTGAAATTTTGGGGTGGTTTGGTACATAGCAGTAGAGAACTGAGATGGGACTTGGGCCACAGCCTAGGGCGGCATGTCCTCTAAGGATACTCAAAGGCATCTGTTACCTGTTCCCTGACGCACAGGGTCCCCAAGAGATGCCTTTAACACCTCTCAATCCCTCTGCATCCACAGCCTAGATTCCCAGCCTCCAGCTCAAAACCACAAGCAGACAAAACCTTGAGGCTGCCCACGTACAGACAGGTAAGTAATGGCTCTCTGTCCCTGTGACCTGTAGGGAGGCAAGAGTTGGTTCTGAGCTGTCACATCTTGCTGTGACATGGGCATGCTTCCATGACATGTTACATAGCCCCTCATTCATAACTGTTCCCAGTAGGGTGGCCCTCTCATCTTTTTAGCAGTTGTCACCTTCAGTTTCGCAGTCCACTCTGTGTCTTTTCCAAGCCCACCCAACAATCCAGGCATGGAAGCTGTTTTGTCCTCCAGACCCACACCCATTCCCAGCTCCTCAGAGCTCCTGGGGGCTGGCTCGGCCTCCACGAGCCCCGCCGAGAGAGCTCAGAGTGCTGCAGTGTAGAGGGTAGAGCCTCCCGACTTCATGTCCCCTTGACTTGGCAGCCATGGCCATGTGCTGTTTCCAACGCACCGCTCCTCCTGGCCAGGCTGCCCAGCTCAGGAGTTACGGATTCGAAGAACACTAAATGCTGGGTGAAATCCCCCCACCAGGTCTGCAATGCAGGGCGCCTCACAGGTGGCTCCTCTCACCTGAGCGGTAGGGAGGTTAAGTCGGCAGTGCTCACAGGCGCTAGGATACAAAGACCAACATTCAGGCAAGAACGTGAAGAGGAAAGGGTGGCCTCTCCCCTGGCTCTCAGAAGACAGCAAATGTGGGCAGCACGCTGACACCTGGCCGGGATGTCCTCTTTAAGGGTGCTTTGCTGTGACCCAAAAGGTCCTCATATAGGTCTCCTGGGGCCACTGTAACAAAATACCACAAACTGGGTGGCTGAAACAACAGGAGCTTATTATCTCACATTCCTGGAGGCCGGAAGTTCAAGATCCAAGTGTTGGCAGGGCCAGGGACTCCTGAAACATGTAGGGAATCCCCCTTTGCCTCTTCTAGCTTCTCGTGGTCTTCAGGTGGTCTCTGGCACTCCTTGGCTCCTAGATGCACCCCCCTCACTCGTCTGCCTCCCCGAGGCATTCCCCTGGGAATCGCACTTTGTCTTCTGAGCATATATGTTCAAGTCTCCACCCCCACCCCCCAACTTTTTGAGACAGGGTCTCACTTGTTTGCCCAGGCTGGAATACAGTAGCATGATTATAGCTCACTGCAGCCTCCAACTCCTGGGCCCAAGGGATCCTCCCACCTCAGGTTCCTGAGTAGCTGGGACCACAGGTGTGTGCTACCAAATGGGCTAATTTTTTAATCTTTTGTAGACACAGGGTCTTGCTATGTTGCCCCAGGGGATCTTGAACTCCTGGCCTCAAGTGATCCTCCTGCATCAGCCTCCCGAAGTGCTGGGATTATAGGGGTGAGCCACTGCACCTGGCTCAAATATCCCCCCCTTTTTAAAAGACACCAGGCTGGTCCAAGTGCAGTAGTGTTTGCAGCTAGTCGATGACAAACAGTTACAGATTTCTTTGTTCCTTCTCCACTCCCACTGTTTCACTTGACTAGTTAAAAAAATAAAAAGATTAAAAAAAGAAAAAAAAAGTATAAAGACACCAGTCATACTGGATTAGGGCCCATGTTCCAGACCCCATTTTCATTTGATTTTCTTTGTAAAGACCCTATTTCCAAAGAAGGTCACATTCTGAGGTACTGGGGGTTAGGACTTCATAGATCATTTTTGGGTGACACAGTTAAATCTGCAACAGTCCCTTCGGGGGAAAGAGAGTTTCCTTTGTTTCAGATACTGCCTAGAAGTTTCTTGAAATTTTTCTAAAGCATTGAAGGGTCCCAGAAATAAATAACACAGGGGCCATTATTTATTTAATAATAACTTTCTCATTGGCAATGAAAAGTGACTTCATATGCCATCCAAAGAAGTCAATACATTTTCAAACCCTTTGTACAGGCTGGGCACGGTGGCCCTCGCCTGCACTTGGGCGAGGAGCACTTTGGGATGCGGAGGCAGGTGGATCACTGGAGTTGCCAGACCAGCCTGGCCAACATGGTGAAACCTCATCTCTACTAAAATTACAAAATAGCCAGGCATTGTGGCCCACGCCTATAACCCCAGCTACCCAGGAGGCTAAGGCAGGAGAATCCCTTGAACCCGGGAGGCAGAGGCTGCAGTGAGCCAAGATCGCACCGCTGCACTCCAGCCTGGGCGACAGAGTAAGATTCTGTCCAAAAAAAAAAAAAAAAAGCCTTTGTACAGTGAATTAGCTAAACAAAAACAAGTGGAGGTGGGGAGCCACTCACGCCCTATTGAGCAATCGAGCCAGTCACAGCCTTCAGCCCTCTCCCAGGTTTCCCGGAAGTCAGCTGGTCAGAAAGCAGCCAGTCATGGCTCTCAGGTGGGCCTCATGTTTTTCTCATCACCCGCTGCTGTTTATTCCAACGCTGCTACGGAAGCTGCAGGTTAGATCTACAATGGCCCCAACAGGGTCCACCGCAGATGGTCAAAGTGCTGAGGAAGGTCGTCGCTGTCTTCCAGCCCAGGGGCACTCAGGGTCCTCTTGGGACTGTAGGTGTCAGAAGACTCTTGTCGACTCGAGGTCTTGGCCTTGGCTCTGAACCCCAGCAGCTGACAGGAGGGCGAGAAGCCCTGAGAACCTTCTTCAGGGGCCTGGCCAGGCTTAAGAGAGCAGCCAAGGCACCCAAACAGGCAGCAGCAGCACTCGGGACCCACTGAACGTGCTGCCCTCACCTCAACCGGCAGAAACCCATACTCACACCTCCAAGTTCCTTCTGCCTAAGAGGCAAGCAGGGAGCCCGGCACAGACGCACGCCATGAAGACACCATGTTTGGCAGAGAAGCCAGGAAGAGGCCTCTGGAATCGCATTCTATCAGGCCCATGTCCACACACTGTGGCCCCATCATCCATAAGCAATGGCCATTCGTCCTTTTGTGAGCCTGCTCTCTCAAGCCAATGCTCCATGGAAGGTCAGTGCTGGAAACGGCATCCGAGGGCCAGAGCCCTGCATTAGTCCGTTCTCATGCTGCTATGAAGAAATACCTGAGACTGGGTAATTTATAAAGAGGTTTCATTGATTCACAGTTCCACGTGGCTGGGGAGGCCTCAGGACATTGACATTCACGGCAGAAGGCACCTCTTCACAGGGCGGGAGGAGAGAGAATGAGAACCAGCAAAGGGGGAAGCCCTTATAAAACCATCAGATCTCGTGAGAACTCACTATCACAAGAACTGGATGGGGGAAATCACCCCCATGATTCAATTCTCCTCACCAGGTCCCTCCCACAACACGTGGGGATTATGGGAAGTACAGTTCAAGATGAGATTTGGGTAGGGACACGGCCAAACCATATCAAGCCCCTTCCATGTTTCTAAGTATACACGAGGCCAGAAGCTGCACACCTGACCTTGGGTACACAGGGGTGTCCTGGCATCAGCTTCCCGTGAGGCCACAAGGAAGGACATCCCTTTCCACCATTTTGGCTGCTCAGCCGTAAAAACCCCCACCCACAATGCTCAATCTACACTATGCTGGCCCCAGCACATGGACTGCCCTTCCTGTTAGCTCCGGGAGGGTTGTTGGAATGATAAGGGCTATATTTACCTGATAGCCCAACTCCCACCTCTCCAGAAGCCAGTCAGAAACCTGTCCCCCAAAGGCACAGACCCCACATGGCCTTGGAGTCTTACCCACTGTAAGAGCAAACATGAAGGGAAACTAAGGGCCTGGATTCTCCCTGTTGAAAAAAAGGGGAAAGGGCCTTCCCCCACCCTCACCCCACCCAGCTTTCTTAGAGCCTTGACTTCAGAGAACTTATAATTGTAAGGTTCTTTCTGTCTCCAAATTACATGTGAATCTTTCAAACAGCTAAATAAGCCTCTTGCCAGAAATGTCTTTTGCAAGGACCTGGAAGCCATCTCTTTGAAATGTAATCATCAAAGAAGAGAGGGTCTCTATCTCCTAGTTTCCTTTTCTTTTTTTTAAACTTGTCATCTTTTATTAATTTTTTCATAACTCTGCTCTCCCCAGAAATAGGAAGGTAGCTTTTTCACTTTGGTGGTGGCTTCACTCCAAAACTAACTACCTACTGTCTTAAAGATACGAGTTTAGTGTTTTCCTTTTTTTTTTTTTTTTTTTGAGGCGGTGTCTCGCTCTGTCACCCAGGCTGGACTGCAGTGGTGCAATCTCGCAATCTCGGCTCACTGCAACCTCTGCCTCCCGGGTTCAAGCGATTCTCCTATTTCAGCCTCCCAAGTAGCTGGGATTACAGGCGTGCCCCACCACGTCCAGCTGATTTTTGTGTTTTGTATTAGAGATGGGGTTTTGCCATGATGCCCAGGCTGGTCTCTAACTCCTGACCTCAGGTGATCTACCCATCTCGGCCTCCCAAATTGCTGGTATTAACAGGTGTGAGCCACCAGGCCCGGCCGATATTTTCCTTTGGATGAAGCCAAACAGTGAACACAAATGGTTCCCCCAATCACCAGGTGAGTCTAAGATGAGCTCTGTGTGACAAATGGCGCCACCGAGTTGTCTTACTTGAGGGCCGGTTCTGGTTTCTCTTGAGATCCCAGACGTCACGGGTTGTGTCTGCTCGGCTCTCTGAAGCTGTGAGATTGCTTTCCGTCCCTGCAGTCTCAGCAGATCGCCTGTGGCGCATCTCGCACTCTGGTTTAATGCTTATTCAATAAAAAACGGTTTCCTTCTCTCCTACCTTTGTGGAGAGGCTTTCTGCATTGGGAGGAGGCTTTGCTTTGAATTCTACTTCCCAACCACGCCCAACCTCAATCACAAAGCATGACTTACTTTGAACATCGCTGCCTGCGGCTCACCGAGCTCATGGAACGGAGGCTTGCTGGTGGCCATCTCGATGATGGTGCAGCCCAGCGACCAGATATCGGCTGGGGCACCATACCCACGAGGCCCTTGGTCAATTATCTCAGGTGCCATGTACTGCAGGGTGCCTATTTGGAAAAAAACAAACAGACTGTGGGTACCATATTGCTCAGAAACTAAGTGGCCTGTAGTCCCAGCTACTCGGGAGGCTGAGGCAGGAGGATCACCTGAGCCCAGGTGTTGGAGACCAGCCTGGGCAATATAGCAAGACCTTGTCTCTAAAACAAAACAAAAAACCCACCACTAACTGTGAAATGAATGGCTTCATGAATGGCAGATGGAGTCTTGTCCCATGCATAAATTCTTTTCTTTTTTTTTTGAGACAGAGTCTCATTCTGTCGCCCAGGCTAGAGTGCAGTGGCGTGATCTCGGCTCACTGCAAACTCCACCTCCCGGGTTCAAGCGATTCTCATGCCACAGCCACCCAAGTAGTTGGGAATAGAGGCACAAACCACCATGCCCGGCTAATTTTTGTATTTTTAGTAGAGACGAGGTTTTACCATGTTGGCCAGGCTGGTCTCGAACTCCTGACCTCAGGTGATGTGCCTGTCTCGGCCTCCCAAAGTGCTGGGATTACAGGCGTGAGCCACTGCACCTGGCCTGGTTGCATCTTTCTTTGACCAGAGACATGCAACATGCCTTCCTTTAATACTAACCACGTGGAGAGAGGACTGCCTGGCCCCTCAAAGGACAAATCGCGCAATTCAGTCAGCACATATTAGTACATGCCAAATACAGGGAAGCCAGAACGTGAGAAACACAGCCTGATGGTAGGGAGCTGCCTAGTGGAGGAGATAGACAGAATGCTGGCAGCGGTGGCAGTAATGGCAAAATGTGGTAGGTACTAGGACAGAGAAATACACAGAAGGCTACAAGAACATTAATAAAATAGGGTTTGACTCTCTGCCTGGTTCGGGTCAGGGAAATCTATGGCTGTGTCCATTTGGGTCTCTGAGGAGTAAATGCCAAGACGAGATGAAACATACGAGAGATTTATTGGGGAGAAAGTCTCTGAAGGACAAAGTGGGAGGGACCAGGGCGGGCAGGGCCGGCTACAGACCACACGGCAGGTTCAACACCTGGGAGCGGAGGGGAAGGCAGAATCGGGGACAATCTGGGATGGCAGAGCAGCCCAGAGAGGGCTTCAGCCAGGCCGCTGGGGAGTCTGCAGCCCAAAGTCATCTGCTGGAAGAGTCCCACCTGGGTTCTAGCACCCCTGCCAGGCTCAGGCCTTAGTGGGCAGCAGCCTGGGTAAAGTGTGACTTTGCTGGGTTGGTAGCCAGGGTGGTCAGGGAAGCAGGGTCCTACTGTGAAGGCCGGAGAGCTGGACAAAGGGGATCATGGGTGTGAGACAGACAGCGGGTCTGGGGAACAAGCCATGTCTGACACAGGGCAGGGTGTGGGAAGAGTTAAGGAGGCAATGGCAAGAGCACAGGCCCAGGGGCAAGCTGGGTGGGCCCAGGGCTCTGGGTTTGGACGTGCTCTTGTGGGTCACAAGCTACCAGAGGTGTGCCACAGGGAAGGTGGTGATCAGCTGTGGCGGCGGGAAGCTGAAGGGTTGTTGAGGGGAGATGGCACAAGGGGAGGTCAGTAAAGGACTCTGCGAATAACATCCTTTGTTTTCCTTAAAACTCAGCCTGTGCAAAGGGGACACGTGTGGAAGTGACAGCAGCTACTGGGGGCTGGCAAAGAAGACAGCAAAGTCAGAGATGATCTTGGCCACGCATGAATAGAACACTGAAACCCAGAGAAATTCAAAGAACTATCTCAGGATTACACAACCAAAGGTTTCCCGAGTTTTAATCAATGAAAGCAGGGACGGGCACGGTGGCTCACACCTGTAATCCCAGCACTTTGGGAGGCCAAGGTGGGCGGATCACCTGAGGTCAGAAGTTCGAGACCAGCCTGGCCAACATGGCGAAACCCTGTCTCTACTAAAAATACAAAAATCAGCCAGGCGTGGTGGTGGGTGCCTGTGATCACAGTTACTCAGGAGGCTGAGACAGGAAAATCCCTTGAACCTGGTTTGCAGTGAGCTGAGAACACACCACTGCACTCTAGCCTTGGTGACAGAATGAGACTCAGTCTCAAAAAAAAAAAAAAAGAGAGAAAGAAAGCAAAGGGCGCACTGGCTAAAAAGAAAGTTTGGAGAAGCCACCTACTACGCGCCCCTCTGGAAGATCCCACGTCTTATTAGCATTCTTTCCGTGCCCATTTTAAATACCCTAGGGGCAGCTGTGATGGACAGAATGTCCTACAATGATGGCAACATTCTATTCTGTGTGGTTAAATATGGTAGTCACTAGCCTCATATATTTGACTGTTGGGCCCTTGAAATGTAGCTAGTGAGACTGAAGAAACGCATTCTTAAGTTTTAATTTTATTCAATTCCAAGTGACTTAAATATAAATTTAAATATGAATTGGGTTGTATCAGTGAGCACAACAGATCGGTGAGGCACAAATGATGGCTTTGGTCTCCAGAGCTGATGCCCTGGCGGGGAAGTGTTCAGTGAGCTGCAGAGTTGGGCAACATGGCGGCACATTACACTTGATGCCCTGTTGGGAAATCCCAGAGCCCCAAGAAGGGAACGTCCGGTGACATAATATCCCCTATGGGCTCTTGCTGCTGTAACAGATGGAGAGGTCTTGGCAGGGAATGTGCCTTCTAACGAATCTCTAATTGAGGAAGGATCCGACACTGTGCTTCTTATGAAGTTATCCTCTCTCAGCTCTGCTCTGTGAGGCTGAGTCTGGGATTCTGCTTTGCTTACAGCTCCCCATTAGGCTCTGTAAGCAGGTGGCGCTAAAGAGAGACCCTGGAAGGATGTGGGAGGGAGTGGAGACCTGCTGTGTGCTTGCTGTGGCCCTAAGCTTGACATTGGACCCTCAGTTGGCCCCAGTCTCCAGCTGTGTGTCACCCCATACTTCCAGAACCAGCCTCATCTTGCCCCTCAGAGGTACCTGCTCCAGCCTGGTGACACTCCCTTCCAACAAGTTCTAATCTCACCCTCCCATTTGACCCCCAAGCCCTAGGGGGATAGGCTTCCTGATACCTCAGGGCTTCCCTTTCTGCCTTTTTGGTTTTTGGTACCCAGCAAACAGTTATTTCTATTCAATTCTCTCCGTGGAAATAACTGGGGTTATTTTTGTTTTTCTGCCTGGACCCTAATATAATCACTAAATTTATTTCTTCAAAGAGCAAGAGAATACATTTATAGATGTATCCAGCAGTAGAAAAAAATGCTATACCAAACATAAATGGCTAATGCTAATTGGCTCTGGTCAAATAACTGTCCATCCTGGTACAATTATTTCATAATTGAAGCCTATTTAGTCTGCTTAATTCTAAATTTGGAGATTTTGCACAGCAAAGGAAACAGTCAGCAAAGCGAAGAGACAACCCACAGAATGGAAGAAAATATTTGCAAACTACCCCTCTGCCAAGGGATTAATCACCAGAACACATAAGGAGCTCACACAACTCTATCGGAAAAAAATCTAATAATTTGATTTTTTTAAATGGGCAAAAGATCTGAATAGACATTTCTCAAAAGAAGACATACAAATGTCAAACAGGCATATGAAAGGGTGCTCAACATCCCTAATCATCAGAGAAATGCAAATCAAAACCACAGTGAGATAGTATCTCACTGCAGTTAAAATGGCTGATATCCAAAAGACAGGCAAAAACAAATGTGGGCAAGGATGTAGAGAAAAGAGAACCCTCACACACTGTTGGTGGGAACATAAATTAGTACAACCACCATGAAGAACAGTTTGGAGATTCCTCAAAAAACTAAAAAGAAAGAAAGTTACCATAGGATCCGGCAATCCCACTCCTAGGTATATACACAAAAGAAAGGAAATCAGTATATCAAAGAGATATCTGCACTCCCGTGTTTGCTGCAGCACTCTTCACCATAGCTAAGATTTGGAGGCAACCTAAGTGTCCATCACCAGATGAATGGATAAAGAAAATGTGGTACTTATATACAATGGAGTACTATTTAGCCATTAAAAGAATGAGCTCCTGTCATCTGCAACAACATGGATGGAACTGGAGGTCATTATATTAAGCGAAATAAGTCAGGCACAGAAAGACAAACATTACATGCTCTCACTTATTTGTGGGAGCTAAAAATCAAAACAATAGAACTCAGGGACATAGAGAGTAGAAGGATGGTTACCAAAGGCTGGGAAGGGCAGTGGGGGCTGGGGGAAGGTGGGGATGGTTAGTGGGTACAAAAAAAATAGAAAGAATGAATAAGATCTAGTATTTGATAGCACAACAGGGTGACTATAGTCAATACATTTTGGCCGGGCATGGTGGCTCATGCCTACAATCCCAGCACTTTGGGAGGCCGAGGTGGGTGGATCATTTGAGCCCAGGAGTTTGAGACCAGCCGGGGCAACAGAGCGAGACCCCATCTCTACTAAAAATGTACAAAAAATTAGTCAGGAGTGGTGGTGTACACCTGTAGTCCCAGCTACTTGGGAGGCTGAGGTGGGAGGATCACCTGAGCTCAGGAAGTTGGGGCTACAGTGAACCAAGATCATGCCACTGCACTCCAGCCTGGGCAGATGGGAGTGAGACCTTGTGTCAAAACAAACAAACAAACAAAACAAAAAAACTGTACATTTAAAAAAAATGAAAAGAGCATAATTGGATTGTTTGTAACACAAAGGATAAATGCCTGAGGTAATAAATACCTTATTTACCCTGATGTGATTATTACACATTATATGCCTGCATCAAAATAGTCTATATACCCCATAAATATATATACCTACTATATACCCACAAAAGTTAAAAATAAATTTGCAGATTTTTAAAAATATGGAGCCATGGTGAACAGCACTCTTTCTAAAGGCAAGGACTTAATAATGGCATTCATATTAGTTATTTACTGCTGTTTAAGAAATGATCCCCCAAATCTATCAACTCAAACAACAAACAGTTAGGTCTTACAGAGTTTCTAAGGGTTGAAATCCAGGAGCAACTAGCTAGCTAGGTGGACCTGGCTCAGGGTCTCCCAGGAAGTTGCAGTCCAGACAGCAGTTGGGGC